GAACAGTGGCTCTACTGGACTTGCCAGCGGAGAGAGGAAAGGCTGCCTTTCTTGGTGCATCAGGACCTTGGGAATATCAAGCAGAATCTTTTGTCGGCATCGTCTTGTCATCTTTGGCCTTTTCACATCCGCATGTCAGCTGGGCCCAAGGCCATCTCCCATGGTGTGTCACGGCTCGTTTCTGAGCTCGAGCCTCCCACAAATGACTCTGACAAAGACAGAGCTAGACGTGGCTCAATGATTTGATTGAATGTTATATTGTTTCAGACTGTCGGCGCAAATTGAGTATGACCCAAAAAGTACATAGCTAGTTAGCTAGGATATTACATAACTTTTTGTCCAACATTGCAACCGGCTTCCAGGCCTGCCGCTTGTAAAGGTACTGTTTGGCTCGCACATCCTCCTCGTGCGAGTAGAATGGGGTTCCAGTTATGTCAACAGTAGACAGATTGTAGACAACGTGGCAAGTCTTGAAGCATAAAAAAATGCCCAGTCCAATGTGCAGATATGACAGCAGTCACAAGCATCCCCTTTTCGGCAGCCATCGGCCTGGCTGACAGTTGCTTGCCTACACAAAAGCAGTCTCTACAATGGTTTCAATTCAAGTCAAAGCAGGTCTCGCATGCCTTCATCCTAAAGTAAGCACATGGACGACAAAGGCCACGCTGGTGCTGAATAAGCTTGTCCTTGCAAATAAGCAGGATTGGCTTTTGCTGCAAGGTGTATACCAAGAGTGCTCCTTTAAGAGCACTTGTTAAGTGACTTACAGTAGGTGGCAAAAATACTAGTAGTAACAAGAAGCTATTAGAAACAAGTGCCTGACTAGTAGTAACAAGTGCCTTACTAGTAATAGTAGTAACAAGAAGCTATTAGAAACAGATACTTACAGGAACAATACTTGTAGGTGTCCATGTCTTTCTTTCTCGTTCGTTGCACAATTCCCGCTCGCACCTGAGCTGTGAGAGCATCAGGAACATCTGTGGAGCACCTGGGAGCGACAAAACAACAACAGACCTGAGACCTGGGAGTGCCAAAGGCTGCCAGACTCATTTAAAGTCAAGTAGCGCGATTAACAAATTTTAAGAAATGAGCAGCCAGGTTGGGTCACTCTGCCTTCTGCCAATGGAACTACACCAACTCCCTTAGCTGCCAACGAGGTTGTAGTCCCGCAATCCTCTTCATTCAAGCTGGGACTATCGGGAACCTCAGCTTCAATGAACCCTGTCGCTTGTTGGTTTGTCTGATTTTCTTGGATGCGACAAAGGCTTGGCACTCACGGAAGATGAGTTGGGGATGTTCAACCAGCTGAGGTGTCAACTGCATGCAACTCAGAAGCCTGGTCCGAGTTAGCCACGTCCGGTTTCACGATGCCGTTGGTGATCTCGTCTGTATCCTGGCTGAAAGAAAACAAAAACCGCTCCAGATCTTGGGCGTTAGAATCCAAGCTACGGGGTGCACCACTGCACCACCACAGCCCAGTTCATGCCTATAACAAACTTAAATAATTGGAAGATGTATTGAAGGTCAAACATAGTCAAGTGTTAGTCAGTCAAATCTCGGAAGTGCTTCACAAAACCAGGGTTCTTCATTCTCCCGCCCAGGAGCTTCCATGAAGAACCCTTGCTCTACAGCGTGCTCGCCTAGGGCTCTACCTCCGATCTTTACAGCCGACACCAAACAGAAAAAAACATGAAAAAACAGAACTACATTTGTCCAACAACACGTCTCTGTTTGGATTCCAGTCATAAGCCGAAGTAGCTCTCCCACACCGACGCCAGCAGCATGAAAAGCTCGCCTGCTCCTCTTGTGGTCCTGGAGTCCTTCAAGGAAAACCGTGGGACTGTTGTGAGATAGGCTTAAGCAGCAGGAGCAAGCAGGTGTAAGTGTAAGGTTCCACTTCAGTGCACGGGCGGCCTCAAAGGGTCTTCGTTTTGCGAACGTCGCACGTAAAGCCCTTCGACGTCTCCTGAGGTCTGGAGGCATGGATGCCGCTCTTCGGCTTTGGCTAGCTTCCCACAACCTGATCGATCGCAGCATGCGTTTGGGCAGTCTCACAGTCTCAGTGCATGCCTTTGGCTCAACATGCCAAACAAGTTGCTCATCATCATCCGCAAAGTGAACGAAAGTATTCCGGACCTGAATAGCGACATTCCGTCTGTGAGGGTGCAGTATTCCGGACCTTCAACAAGCACCCCGTCCTCGACAGGGCGGACAGGAATCAAGCTTGCTTTCCAGTCCACGCATAGCTTAACGTCTTCAACACCTGAGCAGTCACGTACCCACGTGTCGAAGATTCCAAAGGCACAACTCTGTAGCATTGCAAGGTTACAGGCAAAGAAATCCAGTGGTTGCAGGCAAGGTGCCCCTATCACGGTGTGTCGGTGCCAAACTTTCCTTCCAGTCAAACCTGGAGCGTTCAGACATAGATACCTGAGTTCGGGTTCAAGGAAGTGTTTCAAGACATGGTTTTCATCGCTATTAGGTTGGAGGCCATCGCTAGTAGGTTTTTATTCCATGGTGTTGATTGCATTTCAACCACATTATGCAGTTTGCTGATATAACATGTGGCCAAGTGGCAAGTCTAAAGGATCAAGTTCTGCTGCATGGAAAGCCAGCAGCGCGGGCTGTTGTAGTCTCAAATAGTCTTCAAATACAAACATATATAAGGCCCGTTCTTCTGGTGGATTGTAGTGTTTTTCGTTCATGTGACAGAACTCCTATGTCAACCCAAGACGTGAACGAAATGCCACCGTTGAGTTGCTCTTAAGAACCACGTGGCTGCGGAATGCAAGAAATTGGACGAGTGGGATTGGCTCTTCTTGGAGTGTCAGGACGCAACTTCGCCACGTCCCACGATCTTGTGGACTTGGCCTCCGCGACAGGAGCCCCAAGATCTCGTTCAAGCACATGCCCTCAGTCGGACTCCGATTGAAATGCCCAAAGGCGATGCCAAAAGTTGGAAATCCTTTAAACCTGAAAGATTCGCTGCAAAAATGGAGGAAGAATACACTGTCATCAATTAAACCTAAAGCCTGCCACATGGGAGCCACAGGTCTTTCCTGGGTCTCGTCTCGCTAAGATCGAGTCGAATGGGATCCCAGCGCGCTGCAGGAGCACAATCTTGAAGCCTAAGACCCAAGTGAGGTTGCAGAGAACAGCATAGCATAGACAAGCGCTGCTAGTAGGTTCAATAGATCTGAAGGCAAAAGAGCCATCATGTGCTACTTGAGGAGAACTCTTGAATTTGGCTGAGTCCCAATCTTGCGAAACTCATTTCGATACTGCTCCGGAACTGCCTCGACTCAAGCCAAGAATGGACCAAACTATAAGTCTAGAGGCAAGCTCGATTTCTGTTTCCGCCTCAGGTCGAACACTTAGAACTTGAGCAACCTGAGTCTGGCAAGTCACTGTAGACGTTCAAATTTTGAAAAAGGGCGCTGGCCTTCACAAACATTCCACGCAGCTCCTTCAGAAAGGTCTGATGTTGGGAAGAGACAAATCTCATCCAATCTTGCAAACAGTGTGTCACAATGTGTCAAGTGACTGCTCATGTTGAAAACATATCTGGTTTGCTGTCCTCGACTACTTCTCGCGCTTTGGCGGCATACAGTGAGTGAAGTCGCTGGAACCGGGCGTCGCGATCAGCTTCATCGGTGGAGCACCACCGCTCTAGGAAGTAATGAGCCACCTCGGATGATGTACAACAGAAACTGGCAACCCTGGGAAGCGGAAACAAGAAAGTGTATCATGATTTGCAGATCAACAAGGTCTACAATGATCCCGAAATAGAAAAGTGAATCCTTTTTCAAATAATCGTGTCTATCCATCAAAGATCTTTGTAGTGAAAACGAAGTTAGCCGAGTCCCTTGCGACTAAACGGTTTTCTGAGCTCTTGGCAATTGGCCCAGTATGGCGCCAGAAGCGGACCGATCGTTCAAAGCTGGGATCGGTCGAATACAAGAAAATGCCTTAGACACGCAAAAGGCACAAAAGTGGCATCACTGCCATTGATCGAGTGGCTAAAGATGAAGTGCTACGAACGATTGAAAAGCCAGAAGCACTGGAAATCGTCTGCTGGGACAAATAGCTTTGGAGAGACCTGTCCGGATTTGTCTTGGAGGTTGCTTTTTTTGTGTCTGGAAGTGGCTGCTGCTTCTGTTTGTTCACCAAGTGAGTGCTCTTTTCGGATCAAGTAGCCAGCTAGACATCTTTCAATTGAAGTCGGTTCAACAGGTGCAAGCCAAGCTGGCCACATTGACACAGTGTTACAACACTCTGCATGAGTGAAATGAATATTTTGGCTGACTCTGGTTGACGTACATTTTTTAAAAATGGTCAGCTTTGATAGTAGATAGTTCACATCACCCAACAGGACCATGACAGGTCTAGGCAAGCTACAGAATCTTTAGCTGAGCTTCATCCAGCGCCGCCTACACATCCTGCTCCAAGAAGAGCGCCTTGAGAAGACTAGAATTCATGAGCCCTATCAAACTCCGCTCGTGTTTGGATAGAATCAGAATAATATACATGTTTCTTTCATGAATGAGTTGATGCCAAGAAACGCCCTGCTCTGCGTGCAATGGATTTCTGAGACCATCGCAGCATTTAGTAAGTATCTACAATATATAATCTCCACTATGATACTGCGAGCTTGGGAACATGCAACACCAAATCAAGGCACATGACATGTTTCTTCTCCTTTTGCAGAATGTTACTTCGCGCGTTTGATCGATAGGCACTTCATCAATCTGCACTGACATGGCTTGCAAACTGCTTTGCTCTAAAGCTTGATACTCATAAAGCATAGGGCTGACGAAAACAAAGAGTCCCAGAAAGCAAAGACCGCAAATGTTGGAGTTCTTGTTGGTTAGGAGCTAGGAGGGGCAGTTCGGTTTAAATCCCACAACGAGAGCCAAGCATTCTTGTTTGTAAACAATCCAGCAGAACAAGGGCCTACCATCATATTGGTCAAATCTCTTGCAGTGGTGTACGGTGCGCACCCTCCTTGCTTCAGCAGCCATCATCACATAGAAGTCCTTTCGCAACGAACTAGAGTTGAATTGGGAAGCTCTGCTCTGCTTATTTGACCTACGGTAACCATGTCACGAATCTGTTGTCTCCATGTCCAAGCTTTGACCGACTTCCACCCGACGAGCGAGTTTCACTTTTGATGATTTTCACGACTTCATTTGGCTCCTCTGCAGTCACATATCCCTTTCCACCGCGGTCTGCTTCTTCGATCATGACATCTATCTCCTGCGCGCAACCCAAGCCAAACACAAGAACAGGCCACTCACTTGCAAGCGAAGAGCTTGGCCGGTGAAATGGTCAGCATCTGTTTTTTCGCCACCATCCAACTCTGTCTGCACTCCCCCCACTTCTTTGCCAATGACTCAATGACCAAAAATAGTGTCGCTCACCATGTTGCTCAGTTTTTTCTTGCAAAGTTCTGTTTAAGGAGTGTAGACAGCCTTTGTACAACGCGATCCCCCAGCGTCGAGAAGTTATTGCGACGCCAAGTGGACTGCACAATTTGCTATGTCAAATATGACTGCAAGAGAACACCTAACGGTCCAACACCTCACACTGGCATACTTGATGGTGATGGACCTCAGTTTTGTGTATTTGGGTTTTGTGTAGACAGAACACGCTGCGCTGGGGAATGAAGCCCAAAGTCCAAGTGAGTGCCCAGCATCCTTGCTCCGGCCTCAATCGCCAACGTTTTCTCGGGAAAATCGCATCACCGCACCAGAAGGAGAACCGCTTTTGGGTCCAAGCTGAGACCCCAACGCATCCCCAGGACTCGCTGAAGGTGTTGCCTGGCAAAGAACAAATCTACAAAGTTCCAGGAAGAACAATTCTACAAAGTTCCAGGAAGGAGTAACTTCAGTCGTCCTAAGGCTACTTTTAGGAACGGCTGGCTGAGGGTCGATGCAACATCTGCAGGCATGACCACTTTTTGAGGAGGCTCTTGAGGAGCTTCTAAGCCCACACCAGTCGCCTGTCAGGACCAACGAAAAGTTTTGGCTGCCAATGGAGTGCTAGATGTGATAGGTCACTCAATCAGAATCTGATCTCACAGGAATGTTGAAGAAGAAAACGTGAGTGTGTGTGTGTGTGTTTTCATATTCCTGTTACATCTTTTACTTTTTACCACAAAAATTATACTTCAAACAACTGGCTGGTCTCTGGCACCTGCAAAGCTGGAGATGGACGGCTGTATGATGCGCTTGGCCTCATCTCGACTCTGTTGTGAAGAGTGGCATTGCTGGTGGCGTTGCTTGGATGGCAGCATTCCAGCCCCTCCAAATGCTCCGTAGCCCGCGGGAGTCCTCAAACATGAAGTGTCAGTGAGCGGAACCAATCGATAGAACATCTTCGATCTTGCAAACCCTCTGGGCACTTGGCACTCCGCTGGGAGTCACCTCGATCAGAGGTGCATCTGCATTGGTGAGAATAAAAAAGGCCCAGTCTCAACAACTAGTAGCAAGGACGCTACTAGGGGGAGGCCATCGCTATTAGGGTGGAGGCCATTACTACTAGTAACAAAAAGCTACTATATAGTAATAAAGGGCATCGCTACTAGGAGCAAGAAGCTACTAGTAGCTCCTGGCATTACTACTAGTAACAAGAACGCTACTAGCCTCCACACCAGCGGTCCACAGCCTCAGAGGCCACCCGAACCGACTCAGACCATTTTGTCTTTACGCAGCGGTTCAAGTACATGCTCGACCAAGGTGGTCCGAATGTTAAATCCTTCTTAAAAGCATCTAAAAAGCCGCCAGTCTCGAAGTGAAGCACTGCGAAGGTATGCTTGCTGAGCCAACCAACGCTACTACAAAGACTCGGCAGCTCTTGTCCTGCATGGCAGCACTCAGTATTGTAAGAATGAAGAAGCAAGCATACCAATCACAACTCAACTAGAATTCGACAATGAGAAGGTTGGTGTGGACCGAATTCAGCATGGTAGTTCCATTCGCCAAAGGAAACAACCCCCGGCCCAGAGAGCCATACCCCAGGTTTGAGAGGCCTCGGAGGCAGAAGCGACGATCAGCTGAGGCTTTTGATCTACCTGCCAAGACTGGAGAGGTTGTCAAATATCACATTCAGCAAACAAGATTTTGGCTATCTCCTCAGAATACTCGAGGGGTCTTGAGAGAAAATGGAGCTACTAGTAGCTAGAAGTTAGTAGGTGGAGGCCATCGCTATTAGGTTGGAGGCCATTACTACTAGTAACAAGGACGCTACATAAACACATCGAATTGGCCCTCCAGTCCTCACCGATGGCAAGGTCAAGCCCCATCACCGTCTCGGAGTGACCCTCACCCACAAGAGGTATGGAGATGTTTGGGCTTTTGCCGCTGTAAAGGGCCCAAGCAGCCGAAACATGTCTTTTCCTCTGTCTTTTTATATCACAAAACACCGATGTAAAGCTCGCAGCTTAGAATGCCTGCAGAGTCCTCATGCATTCTCCCGAAAGACCGTTGAACCTTGCTCTGCACAAAATGGCACAAGTGGAGAATATGTGTCCGTTTCCTGTCTCTGCCGTTCAGCGCAAATCGGACGAAAGGCTGAAAGGCAAAATGTCTTCAGTCCCTGCAAACAAATCAGACCCACACAGTCGCACGGTCTTGTCCGTAGAGCAGGTGCAGAACCTCAAGAGTTTTGCCATCTTTAGGAAGAAAGGAAAAACTCGAATTCGAGTATATAGCTCAATCCCACACAAGATCTGTCCTGCCTTTGTCAGTGCTTGGCACAAGTCAAAGGCAGCTGACTTGAGATGGAACAGGCACCAAGTAAATGTTGCATGAGCGCTAACAGTGCCCTTAAGGTGACTTCTGACATCTTGTGAAACAAATCGTTGCTTCTTTGGCAACAAGCTTCAAGCAAGTTTAATCAAATTTAACTCTTTCACAACAACTATAGGCTTCTCTGGACACTTTGCTACTTGGAGGGTTGAACTTGAAACTTGTTCAATCTCAGTGAGCTTTCTTGTTCAGGCTGTAGTTGCCTGAACTGGACAGTCAGCAGGAATGTTCCAGTAGCCGGTCAGCAAGAAGCCCATGCACTTCCTGGCATCCTCACGTCAGGCACGAGATCAAACAGACCGGGACGAGATGCTTTGTCGCAACGCAAAGCCTTCGATCAAGGAACTGCCCCTCACATTGATTTCTTCAGGCCCGGTCATGGTGATTTACGATGCTCTCTACCAGGTTCAGTAAATCCCATGCAGACTGCAAAAGTTAGTCTCCTCTGCGAAGTCCACCATACACTTCTCGCAACCCTCTCCCTTCGACATGCAGCTGCCCTGCCAAGCCAGAAACTGCACTTTCTATGATCACTCCAATGCAAAGCAACCAGCCATTACAAAGATGTGCAGGGTGGAGGCCCCGTTGGATGTAACTTTGAGATCTTGTTAGACAGTGATGCAAAGGTTAGTTCAAGACAGGAGCTGCTGAGCGTTTTGCTTCAGACGGTAACGCTTTCGAGAATGGAATTTGCCTGAGAGTTCTGAAACTCTCCTTGTCATTTGTACCATGTGGAGCAAACAACAGCAATTTATCATAGTTTACCTAGCCTTTGCAACCGCTTGGGAAGTTTCAATGCAAGCATGTGAATCAGAGCGTCTCAACAGGCCAAAGCAGCCATGCAGTTGTTGTACCCCCAGTGACCGGCGTCCGCAAAGCCTCACAAGTCAAATTCAACTCACATTTTCACTAAGCCCATAAGATTTGTGCAAACAAGAAGGCTTACGTCAATCTGCGCTTCTGAAGAGTCTTTGACAAACAAAGAGTTATCGGATAAACCTTTGGTTTGTGCCACAAACGAAACGCAGTGGATTTGCACGTAGCTGCAAACTTTAGAGAAGATGGAGCTGCAGCTGTCATGACTTCTCAATCAGCTACTTATATTTCTGATTTGCAATGCAAACAAGCTGCACATGGCGCATTTATCGGAGAGTTCAGGCACCTCCTGCTCGCTGGCAGTGTTCCATCTCTCTTGAAATGAACGGCTAGCAGGCGCAACTTCCCGACTTGTTGCAACAGGTTCTCTCTGAGTGGTCCTCGATCATGCAATTTTTGAACTTGTGTTTCCTGAACTTGCCCATCCTCAATTGCTCATGACATACTGAGCATACTGCCTAGAGCACTCTTCTTTGGATATGCTAACATGGTCTAAGACATTCACAAAAGTACCGGCTTAGCCACGGCGTTGCTTGGACGTTTAAGTTGTTTATGCCCAGCTGTTAAACGTTCTTTTAAAGGAACCTTTTTGAGGGACCCACACCTTCTTTGTGTCCTCTCTCTCTCTCTCTGTGTACTGCTTCAAATACTTAAAATACTTCAAGCAGCAATGAGAGAGCTTTCCGGCCGCATTTTCTTGACTTGTCGATGACAGCATCGTTGTCGTCCTTTATCAACCTTGGGGCAGTGAGATTAAGTTTTAAGAAACGGATCAAACTCTCTCAAAATTCAGCTCAAAACTCGCACAGAACTTGATGTTCCTCTTGTTGGCACGAGTTGTAGGCCTTAAGCCGCCACTCAAAGAAAATGACCAACTCTGCAACAAATCAAGACTTCCCTTGATTGTCTCAGGGCAATTCGTATGGTGGTGGTTCGTCTGGCCGCTTGTCTGCCTCCAAGCACTCTGCAAAGAAGTGCACTTCATCGCACTTCATTGCTCAGATATGATGTTGGCTTCACGATCCCCCACAGTGTCATCGTTTTTGCACAAACCTCCCTTGGTTAGTACTGATTTAAAGCACGTTGCAGGTGGAGCAGGGAACTCGGGCAGTCCTCAATGACCCCGGCTACGATTTACCAAAAAAGGAAATGGTGTGATTGGTGTGCCTCAGAGCGGTTGGAACACTTCCAGTTTTAGTCTGCGGAAGTAGTCGGGCGGATAGAATGATGTCAGCATTTCCACATCCAGTTTCTGCAGGGGATCTGCAAGTTAACAGGTTGACAAACAGTGGCAGCCACAGTGCAAACAGCGTGCACGACGATCCTTTTATGCAAGCACAGCTCAAGGGGCCCGAGGGGGTAACAGGTAACAGAAACATGGCAGTGGATGACAAAGGCGCACGCCAAGTTGATTCACATCCTTCAGAAGGACCTTCCTTGTCGTCCTTGGTCCATGGCATTTCTTAGAAGAGCGCCGTTCCCAAGAATTTTCGTCAGTGAGAGATAGGCGGCATCATTGAAAATAGTTTGCATGTCTTGCTCCACACTTATGTTCATCTTCTCCGGTATATA